CCGCCGTTCTGTGCTACACTTCGGCTCTTCCCCTTAGATCCCCTCCGCCTACGGAGTTTCCCATCCCCCCGACGCCCCTCTTCCACGCTTTGCATCTCTTGCTCTCTCTCTTTCTCTCTCTCTCTCTCTCTCTCATACACATACACACTCTCTTCCTGTCTTTCTATCGCGATCCTTTTGCCACTTTGCTGGGTCGAAGCTATGATCTTCCTTTTCTCGACTTTTTAAAGGGTTTTCGCCCTTTGCGATCCTACATCGAACTAGACTCGAGATTCTATTTTCCACGATTTATTTTTTTTTTTTTTTTGGTTTAGTGTTAACTCTGTCGCAGCCATAGTTATCCCACGAAATATATGTTTAGAATTAAGTAGAATGTTACTCTAATTAGAGAGACGAGTCATAAAATAGCAGGGAAATTTTAGCACATTCGTATTGTATAATTCTAACGCTCTCGTCTGTAGATCCAAAAAAGATAATTTTATATCCGAAGCAAATATCGTACGTATATTGGGTTCAGTAGTCCGCAGATCTTCGATCCACGGATACGATTCCGTATTATAAGGCAAAGCATCGAGGAGCGCAATTGAAGATTTCAATTTGACATTTCGAAATAAAATGGTAATAATAATATTTGCACGTCTGACTGTTGTCTATGAAATTCAAGATACTCAGAGAAATTCATGGAAAAAATTGAAGGTATTCGTTTCGTAGTAAAAGAGAAAGGATTTTAATGGTAATTTACGAGGGAAATGTCTATGTTCGATCGGCGAGGATAGAAATTTACACTGCGACAGCAGGCGCTAGTGTCTAACAAGGGACGTCCCGCGGGACGATGGGCAAATTGCGTGAAACTCGAGGAAGAAGGCCGGGCAAAATTGATTCTTGCCACGTTCCAATTCCCCGCAGAGCTTCCTGTCCTAGCCGCCGCCGCTTTCCGCGTCAATAAACTCGCGAAAAAACAATGGAACTGATTTTTGGAAGCGCTAAAAATAGTAGGCGCACCGAGAAGCCCGATTCCGCGAAAATTTTTCTCTAACTCTTCCGAAAGGCGTGCACCGACTGCCGAATCAGAAGATACCAAAAACAGATAAAAACGAACAAAATACTTTGGATATCGTGCAAATCCCCTAAAAATTAATCCATTTGAATTTTTACGAATATCTTAGAAGGGCGATAAATGATGAACGAAAAATTAACTTGTAAGATTCTTTTTTAACGATAAGTATGAAAGAAATATCAAAGAATTAAACAAGTCATGACACAATCGCTATATCTTGTTCAAAAATCTCTACTCTCTCACCCTCTTACAAAATATATTAGATCGTCCCAAACGTTTCTTTCGCTTTCTAAGGAAATAATAGATGCACATCTTTTGTTTTATATTATTTTATTAAATTATGTATGATCAATTTTGTTCTATTTGAACAAAATGCATCTATTATTTTCTTATAAAACGGAAGAAACTTTTGGGTCAACCTAATACAAAAAATAATCCTAACTAACTTGCCATCCTCGAAACCACTAACATTCTAATACTACGACCAATATTTCTATCTAAATTTACAAACAAGAGAAACTAGATCAGGTTTATAATTCCAAAACCACGATAAATCCTTTATTCACGAAACTATATTCAAAACTTTCCATAACCTAACGCAAAAACTTTAGCAACCTCCGCACCCTTAGGGATTAAACGATCAAACGCACTCGAAGAAATGCGTGCAACTACCCCTCTGAAACGACTCCCTTGAAATACAAGGACGCAGTTCTTGTCAGAAGGAGTTAAAGGTCCGCAGTAAGAAACCAACGGACGTTTCACGTTGGTAGGTGCATGTTGTCGCCGGGCCGCGTGGCTTGTAACCGGGAGGACCAGTAAAAGAGCAGGGTTGAGAGGAAAAAGACGTGCAGAGGGTGGCGATCGATAGCCAAACTCCTCGTCTGTACGTAAGATAGACTTCCTCCTTCCTCTACACTACCGTTCAAAAGTTTCTGGACACTTACTTACTTTTGTTAGGCGACTATAGATTATAATCGCACTACGGCGATATTATCATCCATAATCATTAAATTACGAATGTTTCGAAGCACCCAATAGCTAAACCGATCGACACGGTCAATATCGATTATTTGATTTTTGAAAAATTGAAGATTAACACACGCTCATATTCCGATACTAAGATGAAGAAACTTTCAAAATATAAAATCGATCTCAGTTTGGTCGAATACTTATGAACGGCAGTGTACCCTCTAGGTCTTCTCCTCTTTCCTCTTTTTCTCGCAAGCAGATAAGAAGACACGCGTTATGCATGGACTCTGACTCGCTTTCGCGATTCCTGATACTGGAAACTGCCGTTTGCAACGAGTAGCCGATATTTGCGCGAGATAAGACGGATTGCCTGAGAGCTGGTAGTAAAACGGAAAGAGGGCAACCCTTTGATCAGAGGAAGCGACTGTTGTCGGATGGGAAAATCCTTGGCTTTTGAGGTTGTTGAACAAGTTGGATTTTCACAGGTGCTACGGTTGAGGTGGTTGTAGAGAATTCCTAGATTTTGAACTGGGTTAGGATGGTTTCGTCTAATAGTCAGAGCGTTTGGTGATGCGGATAAGCTTTTAAGCGAAAGGTTTATTCGAGATGGATTTCGATATTTTGTGGACGATGTTTGGTAGTTTAGGAAAAGTTATACCGATCCCTTTTTCCGAATCTTTTTGTATTTCGAAGCAAGAACGCCTAAACAAATTACCGTATAAGAAGAAGAAAGCTAGCAAAAAATAAAACAGATCATTCCTTCGGAATTCGTTGCTCCGATGTAACCAGATAATAATCCTCACATTCTAACGAAGAAATTTAAGAGTATCGCTCCATGTGATATTCAGATAGATCTCTGGATAGATCACTGAAGAATTAAATGTTAATTTAATACTGATATTAAAAGATTGGAATTGATTGACTTGGCTTTCGAGCAACTCCATTTATTGAATGATTTCCACTAAATCAAGATACTCAGAAACGTTCGTCACGTGACAAGCGATTTCCGCCTAGATTTCCTCTGTAATTCGCAAGTGTGATACACACGATGCAACGTATCAAGTCGCACACCACCCAAAGTAAATATCGTGTTCGCCACACTAATGACTGTTCTAAGTTTGCTGGAGACGAGCACGCGGACAACGAACCTTCTCCAGTTATATCCACGCGACATTTCACCGCCAAAGTGAGCTACGAGATTTCCATTGTCACCGCAAAAGGGTTTGCAAACTTTCTATCAAATTCTCTGGTCAAACCATTAGCGATCGAGTGATTGAGAAATAGATGTTTAAGAGGTTTCACTAATTCTAGGCGAACATAGAAATGCGTAGATTTTCCTCTATGTCTTTCGACGTTCATTTTAAAAACTACGACATTTTAAAAAATATATGTATCATAATAATATGTATTGTTTCATTTCGATACTTTTCAAATATCTGAAAAAGTTGCGATAAAAAAAAACAAAGATAATGTAATTGGAGACCTAAAGGTTAAGAATTCTATGTTCCACCGCTCTTCAACCAAACATTACTTAAAAAGCATCCCCATAAACTTCTAAATAAAACATAGTGTTCCCTAACGAGCTGAACATAAATTCATTCTCCCAAAACATAAAACGAATAATAAATGAAAAACTCTGAGCATCCAGGAGATCATTCCCTACCGTCGCTAAGAAAGAAGAGCGAGATCAAACTCGAAGGGCAAACTATACAACTACGGCACGACGTAAATGGATAAAAGCAAATGCAATCTAAATATAAAAAATCACAGTGGACATAGAGAGCATGTGACGCGGAGCCGTGGTCGCGTTACGTAAGAACCGTGATTATCGGGTATAAATAGGCGTTTTCTTACATAATTACAACGTTTCGCGCGCCACGAAAACGAAAGCCGCATTGCTGAAAATCAGCTGACGAGAAGAGACATCGAGAACGAAACCGAACGACGATCAGGATATGACAGGCACGAATATGGATCGCGTGTGCGCCACACGATCCACTATGTGTTTATACGCGCGAAAGCTATTTACGCGTCGCGACGCTTCGCATCGCGTTGCATCTAAGCAATTTCTACCCTTATTACGATCTTTACGAACCTCACCCTATCGATTAAACCTATTCCACGGCAATTTCTTTTCTAGCTCCTGCACTTCTTCCATCTTTCTGACTTCCATGTCCTAACTTTGCTCCTGTTTTAACGAACAGAAGAACCTTTAACTT